TCCAGGGATTGTATCTTCCCTGAGGAAAATAACATTCTTTCATTCTCTTTTGTTCATTATAATTATAGCATAACAACAGTACGAGATAAAGACGGGACAATACGAGCCGTGGTGGCGCAGTGGTTAGAGTGCTGTACTGCAGGCTACTCCCGACTGCTGATTGCCAGCAGTTTGGCAGATCAAGTCCCACCGGCTCAAGGTTGACTCAGCCTTCCATCCTTCCGGGGCCAGTAAAATGAGGACCCAGGTTATTTGGGGCAATATTGCTGACACTGTAAACTGCTTAGTGAGGGCTGTAAAAGCACTGTGAAGCAGTATGTAAGTCTAAGTGCTATTGCTATATTGATCTCCTTCAAAGCAGTCTGAAAGCAACATTGGCTGGAACAAACTGACTTGGAAAGCACACATTGTTCAGGTAAACCTTGGAACTCCTATTGAGTTAAAATTAATACTCAACTGCTATTAAGTCAAGTCTCCATCTCCTACCCTATAGCCTTTGTGTCTTTATGGGGAAACTAGCATCCTTTCGTTTGTAATGTATACAATAGATTATTTATTTTGTTATTTTGGAATAAAGTATTATTTTATGGGTTATTTTACACTGCACCTTTTACCAGGATATTGGCAAATGAGGATAGAATATGTACAACAGGAAATCTAGTATAAAAGGTTGGGCTGTGCTAGCTGATAATATAGGAGAAATCTGGATTTTACATTGTTCTACCCAGAAAAAATGGCATATGGTAGGTGCTGTAGTCCATAACTCAAGAATCCAAAATTCACTCAGGATCAGAAAAAAGGTGTAAAAAATCTAGGTTCCATCTTTTATAGAGGAACTGCAAGTTGGCAACACTGGACCAAAATATTTTGCAGCTGTTTGGATGAAAATTGAATCGCACCTCCCTGCCCCCAAAACTATGGACAAAAACTTGCGAGGAAGATTGCATTCACCACCATACCTAAGGCAGCGGGTTACTTTGGCAAATCGGTAAGGCAGGCCATGTGAAATTCAACACTTCCCCACCATTGCTCTTGTTTTGGTCTGAGATGGTCACCTCACTCTGCCTAACAATTGTGTATGATACGGAGAAAGGCTCCTGGGTGGAACATTAAATTCTGGGGGGAAATACGGTGTCTCTTCTTCCAAAGGAGAAATGAAAAATAATGAAGACTCCATTGGAATCTTTTCATTTGCCCAACTGATCCATCTAAATACATGAAAGAATCAGCAGCCCAACCAAAATTTTACCTACATTAAATGAACCAAGAGATTTTCTTCTGAAGTTCCTGATGAAATGTTTTCTTTCTTGGCTGCTGGTACTGATAAAAGTTAATCTAATATTCTATAATTGAAAAATTACAAAATTTCCCTTGCGATCCAGAGGTAACACATAAGTGATAAAACACAAAGAGGTGCTAGTGCATCATATTTGTCCCCCTTTCCCCAGGCATTATTGCCCACAGCAAAGGAGATGTGAGTGAGTGGGCGACCCTCTCTTGCTCCATTGGCTGCGCTGACAATATAGGCAGAGCTGACTTGGCACACAACTGAAGCAGGTCTTGGTTCAAAAGAACTTGCAAAGATCTAACTGGATGAAGTAGACATGCAGATAGGCCCAGGAGTAGTTTTCTGTACACAGTAAGTCTTCTGGGTTGCCAGCCATCACTGTTTATGTCCAGGCTTGATAGGGAGAAGTACATAAAAGGTCCATTAAAGTATCTCCAAGGTATTAGAGAGAAAGACGACAAGCACATAAAAATGGATCACACTGGATTATGGCAAAAGTGAAGGTCCGGGTGCAGGTCTTGGTCTGGGTGCAGAAGCTTTTCAAACTCTTCACTGGAAGGTGGGGAAATGGTTTCAGCCACTCTGGGGGGGGGGAGGGGGAAACAGGCAGTGAGCAAATGGATTTGAGGAATTAGTTCTCATGAAGCACCTCACAACCAACAGGCAAGATCATACCATCATCCCATTATATTTTCCCTCCCCAATTTCTTGGCTTCTGGCCAAGGACTTACAAATTTGCAGCCTTGCCATCCCCCAGCTTCCTTGGCTTCTTAACAAATTTCATCAATCCAACATCCCAAAGGTACTTTTTCAAGAGGCAACTGGACTTTCTGGTTTTTCTTTGAAGATGTTTCGTTTCTTCTTTGCTCCCAGCTGAAGAAGCTTCTTGGATGAGAAGCGAAACATCTTCAAAGAAAAACCAGAAAGTCCAGTTGCCTTTTGAAAAAAGCACTTTTGGGACAACCAGGCCCTGGATGACTGAGAACCTCTGCAGACATCAGTCCAACAATTATCATTCTCAATTGC